CCCCCCCCCCCCCCCCTCCTCTCTCTCTCTTTCTCAGGAGTTGCTAAAACACGACAGATCAATCAAAAGTAATTGTTTCATATCTTGACTTAGCGTTTTTAATTGGCAGAACTAGTGCGCATTAAAGTGCATATTAAACCTGTTGTACATTATTCTAATCTAAATGTATAAAAGTGAGATATCTCAATTGATAAAATGCCCAATGTATATTTTATCAAATAGTACAATAAAATGCATTGAATATTTCGTGGTTTAATTCGTTTCTCTATATTTTTATTAAATGTATATTTTGTATATCGGCTTTAAAATGCATTGAGTGCGCATTAGTTCTGCCAATGAAAAACATTATCCCAAAAAACAATGTCAAAATAACATTAAAAGTAAATCGTATCTAACTGATTCTTTAGTTACGATTTATTTCAAGAAAAGTAACTTTTAAAAATCATTTTGAACCATTTTGACATTACTTTGATGTTATAACTTGGATATAATAACTTGGGCTAGCTTGTGTTCTGGTTGAAATAACTACCTCTTGCTCTTGTCTAGACTACCGGTATTTTCGTTTGTATGCGGTGTATACACGAAGCAAAGGCTGTTAAGGACTAGAGATCCTTCAGCTCAAGTAAGACCCTCAAGTAAGAATCTGATCATAAGACAAACATGACGGACGATATTTGATTTTGCATTGTAGAGTATAATAAATTATGTAAGATTCACGTTGTCCATTTTATGTATTCTGCAATGCATTATACACGAAAAGAACAATTTTGCTGATTACTTAATTAGATTTATTTAATTAGATACAGATTTAAAAATAATTTTATTGAACTATTATCAAAAATAATTTTGTAGAAATCTCAATGATGAGTAATGGTGCACAAAATTTTTATATCCTAGCGATCAATTTGAACGCCCTACATAATTATTATCATGATCTGACACAATTATTTTTAGATTTGTATCCAGCTAAAATTTTAGCTATTTTAGTAAAACCATTCTTTCTGTATAGTCATTGCCGTCATATTTGTTCGCGAAAAAACTATTGCATGATCAGATTCTTACTTGAAAGCCTCTAATTATGGACGGAAATGCAATGAAATCAGAATATTTTCTTCCCGTTAACTTCGGAATTAGAATCGGGAATTTGAGTCGTGGCGCATAGCTTATCTTCTACGACGAGACGGTGGAATTGTCGCAAGCACAAGAGGGAAAACCGGAAAATCGTTTAAGAGTAAATGACGTTTTATTAATGGCCCCCTCGGGTCCCTTCACCGTCGCCCATAACGTCGCGCCGTTAATTCTCTCACAAGAGGGACGAGTTTAGCGCAAGGCACGTCTGAAAGTTTCAGTGTTTCAAAAGCGACACAAAAGCGGAATGTCCAAGCGAGAGAAGATGGAGAAAAAGTGAGAGAGAATAGAACGTACTGATAAAAAATGAATAATCGGCTCGCGCGAGAATGATCACCTGCCGCGCTTTTTGTCGATTCTGCGACAGTTTGTCATGTGTAAAGTTTATCGGCATAACCCAACGGTCGAGAGATGCATAGTTCCGAAGCCGATCAACGTTAACGTTGAACCCAGTCAGGTCGATGCACCATGAAAAGCGTAGGACTTTCCATCGGTGACACGACCCTTCGCTTTACCTGAAGGTAAAGTGAAGGGCCATAAAAGGTGAGCGAACAGCCGATCAGTTTTCGTCTGCTTCGATCGGCAATCAGGTAATCCCACGGCGTTGTTTGACCTCGTAGAAAAAAGCTACTATTATTATTTATCTGGCGTACTGTAGTTGCTGCTTTAAATAACAATAGAGCGATATTTAAATATAATATCTATCCGCATTGACATAAATAATTTTATTTTACTTATATGATGAATGAGAAAAGAAAGAGTAAATGAACTCTCGGTATTTAAAATATTTGTAACAAAGTCAGTAAATGAGAATTATGCACTGTATTCGTGCGCAAGATCATATACATTTAATGCTTAAATTAAAATCTCAAACATTGCGGCTACAATTCATGTCATTCTCAACCCATAATCATGCTTCCACGTTTCAATTAAAGTCAAGTCGTCAGTCTGGCGCCATTCTTAATAATTTATAATAATTACAAATTACGGTGGGTTATTATATTAAAAATGGCATCTAAAGTGACTTAATTCTGATCCGAAAATAGGAATTTATAATGATTATTCGAAGATGGAAGAATTATAGCCGAAATATTCGAGATTTTAATTTAAATATTAAATATATATGAATCTTGCGCACAAATTACAGCACTTGATATTCATTTGTTGATTTTATTGTAAACTATATTTTGCATGAGATTCTGGTACATTTGTTTCTTTCGATTAAATAACGTTTATGAGAAATAAAGAAAAGAAAACGAAGATGTAACGTTAATTTTCTAAACATATATAAATAGAGAGCACGTGTAGATGAGAAGATAAGAAAATCCCAAAATAGAAATAGGGATACAAATGAGATCAGTCGATCATCAAGAAGAAAAGTTATACAATTTACCAAATACCGTCGTTCATGCAAATTACGTCGGTGTCCCGTGAACTCGACGTGATACGAAAACTTACTTCCGAAGACGATGGCGGTTAATTTCGGCGAGCGAACACGAAAGTTGGTAACGATATTCGTCTAGATAACGTCAAGCAGAAAACCTCGTTGTCGTAAATAATAATGGACGTCAATCGAAATAGAATCGGCGAATTATTTATTTATTTGTTTAGCTATTAACAAGAGCAATTATTTGTTGAAAATGCAAGTAGAATATATAAAAATATTGGATGTGAAAGTGTAATACAATTGTAATATAAAGAATAAAATAGTAAAAGGGAGAGAAATTTTCAGACTATTAAACTTTTGTCAGTTGAATTAAAGCGAAACAAGATCAGGGACACGTTGTATTGTCTAAATGTCTCGAAGAGCGAGAGCGGTGCAGATACGGAATAGTCCGTTGTGTTGAAGGAGAGGACGAACAAAAGCGCGACGACTGGTATTTTTTCTTCTTTTCCTATTAAATAACCGAGCCCACTGCCACATCAGTCTCCGGGGATAAGATTCATAATCGTAAAGCGGCTTAACATTTGTCCACGATGAAGCGCGCTGGATTTCCATGGTGGGACGAAGGACTCCAAATACATTTCCGCCATTCTGTTCCAGCCAGTCTACTTCAATTTCAACGTTGCATATTGCATAGGTAGCTGAACTACAATATCCGCGAAACATTGTTTAAACGTAGTGTATGAATATATATTCAATTATACAGAATATTTTTGTTAAAAATTTAATTTTCCACAAATGTAATTATATTCTCGAGAATGCGGAAACATAATTTGTATCTCATCCGATAAAGAAATCCCTTTCTCATTACTTATTTCGCGTTTTGCGGAAGAGCTGCTTTAATGTGAGAGATTTTTCAGTCACATATAAATATGGGAAACTCGAGCGAGTCTGAGAGTTAAACGTTAGATATATATGTTCGCGAGAGATTAAGAAAACCAAGAGTCCGGAAGAGAAAATGTCGAAAAATTCATTAAGACGAGACCATGTCGCGGTTGAAATCTGCACGTTACAAAATTATAATGAAAACGACGTAAGACTTCGATATTTGAAATTACGAAGTCTGCTCGCCCAAGAACAGAGAAATTCAGAGAGAAAATAAAATATGGAAATTAAAGCGATGAGGGCAATTACGGAGCACCGAAGCTCTTTAATGATTATTAATGGACACGTGATGATCGTGGCGGGTTGGAAAACGCTTCGGTGCGCAAACTGACACGCGGTTACGGATGGAACGCGATGTTTAAAGTTTCCCTAGACGGTTGACAGGAGACAGGACGCGAGTCCGAAGTCGCGTGTCATTCAACCCCCGAGGCGAGGAGAAAGGAGAGATGACGATGTCGTGTAAGAAGCGTGAAATTTATCCGTGCTTGCGGGACGAGTAGCAATTGCAGAGTCTTGTCGCCGCATAGGACACGCATAGGAAGCCGGTTGCCGGCGATATGGAAGAAAGAAAGAAAGAAAGAAAGAAAGAAAAGTCGGGCGAGAAATGCGACGGAGACGAGGACGCGGAATGTAGGAAGAAAAATTCGGAACGACAGAGTTGCGCGACGTGGCGCGACGTGACGTGAAGCGGAGCGGAGCGCGCAAAGCCGTAGGATGGAGCGCGGGGATGGAGAGAAGACGCGCGGCGGAAAAGGCAGAAGGCCTCGAGGAAGGAGGAGGCTGACTGATCGCCGCCGGAGTAGAGGAGAGAGAGCACGCCTGCGCGGAATCCCCGGGCGGGCGCGGGCAGTGCCATCGGAGGCCCGGCGGTTTCAGAGCTTCGCCCGGGACGACGAACCGCGGACGAGCCGAGTCCGGGAAACCCGGTCGCGTTTCACAGTACGACCGACCGATCCACACCGAGTATACCGTGCGTCCGTACGACGAGGGGTACAGCCGCGGGATAAAAGAAAGGGAGGTGGGGAGGGGTGGCCCGATTGAACGCAGGCAGACCGCTTCGTGACCTTGGTGCGCGCGACACTTTACGTCTTCTTCGGGAATAATAAAGAAAAATTTTATCAGTTACAAATCTCTTGCAACCAAGGTTTAGTACAAGAAGGTGGTGTACGGTGAACGCCGCGCGCGAGACTGCCCACAAATTAGACCATCGTATCTCGGCTTCGTTCCGTCACTTGCAATCGCGAATATCCAACAGCAGAGATAATGTGATATATCAGAGTGTTTGAAAAGAAGAAAGAGAAGGGAAGAGGTCGGAAACGAGAGTAAAGGAAAATCGGTGGATGCACAACAAGAGCGCAACGGGGGGGTTGCAACAAGAGGGTTGCAACGACGGGTAACGCGGGAGTATGCGCGGGTCCTGGTAGCACCGGCTGCTGTTGGAGGATGAACGGGACGACGACGGAGGATTATTAAGTGGAGGAGCGCCGAGAGAAAGAGGTGCATCGCGGTGTTCATGAGATGTCAGTGGACCCGTTATCGGGGACAGTTACGCCGCCGTCGTCGTCGTCGCCGTTGTTGTTGTCGTCGTCGTGATCATCATGAGGAGGTCCTCCTACGTCAACTACTACGTCCTGTGCCTCGTGTGCTGGATCCTACTAGGCATTACCGGTAAGCCTCATTCACGGGGAGATCCCATGGCTTGTCATACAGTTAAAAAAAAAAAACATACCTTTCCACTCTGTGACGCGGATCCATGAAACAGATGGCGGCGTCGAGATATCAGGTCGAGGCTCCGAGAGGAAGATGCTGTCAGGGGAGGGGGGAGGGGAGATGCTGTAAATAGCGATTACTCGATTCATGCGATACACGTAGATAGACGGATGGTGATCGAATTATCGAACATCATCGTACAATTTGCGAGGAGGCGGGGCTCGCGGAAACTCGTGCCGCGCGATGGATCGATCAGATTTTGGGGTGTAGCAGTACGTTGCATATCCTCTCCCTCGCGCCCCGCATGCATTTACGAACGTACGTACCGCGCACTCGTGCGCGTTTCTCCCGCTGTCGCGAATACCGGCGGATACCGAGTGTGGAGATCATACAGGAGGGGAAGAATCGAGGATACGCGAGAATAGATAAGGACTACAAAGGACGGAGACGACTAAGGGGGGGACGCAACCTCCGGTCCCGGTCCAGGACCGTATCTAGCGCCACCCTTGTTTGTCGCGCCGCAGCATTGTGCCTTTCTCCACACTTGTTCTTTCTCTCTCCCTCTCTCTCTCCCTCTCTCTCTCTCTCTCTCTCTCTCTCTCCCCTCGCTTTGTCCCCTTTTCTGCTTTTCTTTCTCCCCTTCATACTCTCGACATCTTCCTCTTTGTCCACCTCTCTTCTACCCTGCGAGATCAGCAGCGTGTCGTCTCATGATTCCGTCATCACGGGACGAAGACGAGGAGAGAGACGAACGCGTCCCCCCTTTCCTCCGTGGCGTCGTTCAGGGACGTGTCTATCGATTTCATCTCGCGCGGCTGCATCACCGCGATGCGGTCGCGCTTTAAAATCTGCTGAAACAGGAGTGTCACAGCATCGTTCTAGAAAGTGCACTCATGCATTTTCCGAATATATGTTATCTGCGAGAGATAGTTTAACTACTGCACTCAAGACATCTCGATGGGAAGGAATTGGATGATTTTTGCATCTCTTTTTTAAACATGAGTTTGATCCAATCTTTCGGAAGCGGAAAGCTTTCTCGAATAACTTGCAAGAAACACCAATTTTTAGTAAAACTATTCCTCTGTTGAATGTAACTTGCCTTTGATTATAGAATTCAGTCTATTATGAATCATAAATTGAGATAAGAAGAGATAAGCTCTGCTTTCGAGTGAAGTGCGGAGATCTTTTACTCCAACGGAAAGAAACGAGAGACCAATATAGGGTTACCTTCTAAAAGCGATTTCCCGATTGAACAGATGACGTGATTCCGCTAAACGTATCAGCGTTTAACTTGACAATCATTCGTGAAGAAATATCTGATGCATTTCGGGTTGAAGGAATGATCTCGCTCCGCGAATCTGCCTCTTCGGTGAGGCGTGATCAATTCTGGGATCCAATGGAACACGAGTGGAAAATCCGAAGCGCCGATCAAATCGGATTATCGCCGTCAAACTCGTCTGCATTTATAGCCGCGCGGAAAAAGCGTCAACTACGACTACTGTCGGTCGATGCAATTGGTTTGCACGGCCGTTCGAATAATTACTCGAGCTCTTGTCTAAGGATCGATGTGTAGTTTGGTTTGCCTTCCCCGCTGGCAGTAAACCACTTTGAAAGTATGCTAACTGCTCTCGACTACGAGAGATACTACGAGGAGTTTGTAGTTTCAGAGCTGGTAATGACGGGTTTATCCCGACATCACTCTCGCCGATATATTATGCACTTTCGATCCGTATAGTACCTACTCGCGCACAAACGCGTGCAATGATAGAGTGCGCTACACAACCGTTGATTATACTTCGCCACAGTGATTAACCGTTCGTTCCCCCAGAACGGAGAAGTTCGACGTGCCTATCAACGCGGCTGGCGCAACTCGGGGCGTAACTACTGCCTTGAGAGATGCTCCTTACGCGAAATTGCGTTCTCGTAGCACTTATGAAGATTTCTCGACACATAAAATAAATTTGCAGACCGTGATGTAACTTCAACGAGTTCGCAGACTTCGCTGAAAGCGTTCGGGAAATTGCATCTGTCAGAAACTAATCAAATGAACTAACACTTTCTAGTTAATTCTCAATAGTAGATTTTATATATATCGGTATTATACGAAACTAAATTAAGCATAGAACGAGAAAGATTATCGTACGTGTGTTTCATATCTTTTCACGCTTTTAAATCTTATAGTAGGGAAAAAGAATCGGATCGACCTCACAGATCCGTGATTCTATTTCGATGTAAGTCCGTGTGTTGTCGTGTGGAAATTATAAAATCATATCACGTCGGTGAGAAATAATTCTTCGGAAGCTAAAAAACTGGGATTTATGTGGTAGTTTAGCACACGATGACGTCGTAAAACTGCACGGGCATGCGTACGTGTTGTTCTGACAAAGTGGGAAAGGAAACAGCAGCCCTGCCGGACGCGGCTCGAGTCTCCTCCATACATCGGACGGCATTGTCTCTCGGGAAATATACGATTTTAGATCCGCCTTCTGTTTCCGAGAAATTTACTTCTTCCGTGCTCCCTCCAGTCACCCGCGATCACGTCCTATCACGCTCGATTACGCAGCAGGGAGACACCTTATCGCGACTTATTGCTGCATGAAGCGGAATAGATTTATAAAGCAATACTTTCTCAGATTTTTATAATAGTTTTCATACCTTGGCAGACACTCTCAGAAGATACCATTCCTTTTACTCTAATGTTTTCGATCGTTTTCAAGCGGATTTGACCCGAAATGGATTGGATTGATAGAACACATAACGTCATTAATCCAACTTAGATCGATTCAAACCCGTTACGGTCAAAAACGGTTATAACACTCTTTTCATTCAGAATGCCGCAAAGTCGTGCCTCGATAGAAAACGATGATCAAAACGATTCTACTTCATTCTTCCCTATCTTTTTATACCTTCGGTCTATTTCCTCTTCAACACTCTCTTAAATAATACACAATCGAGAATATCATGTCGCCATTCGGCTTTTATCGGATTCTTGTGGACGAACGTGATTTCCACGCATCCCTCGGGAGTTATGGGAGCGGCGCAAACCGACTTACAAAACGTCGACATGAATAATGCAAACGCCAAGTCGTCCCTTGTATTTATGTCTAATGCCTACCGCGATAAACCTAAGCTCCTTCAGCTATCCATCAATGAGCTTAAACCCTGGTGCGTTACATTGCGAAATTACATGCTTCATGTCGACGTACGTCTCGCCGCGATAAAACGTGTCAACTTTCCCTCTTTTACTCAAGTGCTTCTTTGCTTGATTTAATCTCGAGATAAATATGACTGTATTACGCACCCCTGAGGAACAAGATCGCGCGACCTTTGCGCAACTCGCCGCACGTCGACATGAAAAATAGGTTTGGGGCGGCGTAGGCAGCATCTAGCGAGCGTCTATTTGTGTCCCCTTTCGTGGTAGGCAAATGATCCCAACTCGGTGGTGAGGGTATGGTAATCTCGCGGCGAACGATAGGGGCGCGTGCGCGCAGCTGCGCAGATTTACATCCCTCAAGATCAAGAGGATCAACTGTGTACTGGAGAAGGACCGGTAGCAGCCCCCAGACATGAATTCGTATCTCCGGCACATTTGACAATACACCACTCGTAGCCGCGCACTGATTGCCAATCTACCTCTCTCAGTTCGCACGGAAACGTGTCGGCCGGATGGATTTGTCGGCTACGGAATCACGGGGCGGCAGTTACAACGTTTCTGGGACGATGTAATTTCGAATGTGCGATAGAGGAAGACTTTTTTATCGCGGCAATTTTAATTGCGAATCAAAATCATTAATCGTTTTTAATCAAAATTTTTAATCGTCTTTCGAACATTACACGGATCGTTGCGATAAAAACAAATAGAAATCTGAAGAAGATTTAACTTCAGAACTTGATTTTGCGATCCTTTGTTTGAATTTTTGCTCGGAAAGAAAACGGAAGGTTTTATTCTCTCTTAAAATCGAATAAAAAATTGATCGATAAAAATTCTCGCCATTGTTTACCTTAGCTCGTCGATTAGTCATCGAAATTAAATTTGTGATTCATTATTCTGCAGTTTGATTGAAATAATAATTAACACCGTTGCAGCAGCTGTGATTTTCATGCGCATAAGTAGAACAATCGATGCACGATAAAGCCGTATGTACATCTAGAATGAGGTTTGCTTGTACAAGCGATTTCATATTTACTCCTTATCTCGTTGCGCGTTTATCATACTGCTGATCTTAATTAAGCGTAATTATCACCAGCTTTGTCGTTTGTCAAAGTTTCGGCGAATCTTGATAGCACAACGCGACATATGCTCGCTTCTTGCTCGGACGCCTTCGCGGAATTAACAGCATCAGCTATAAACACGATTCTGCTAATTAACAAAATAATTAGTCGCATTTAGTCAACAGATCAAGTGAAAGGGAAATAGGATAAAGTAACGGCCACAAAATGTACTCCGAGTGAGGAAAACATCTCGGAGCAATTTATTAATTAGCGTCTTAAACATTTCAGTCTGACTCCTCTATACATAAAATATTTCTTTGTCCTAATTGAGGTTTTCACTCTTCGCACTTAGAGATTGGAGACGCGTCGAGCGTTCCTCAAATTATGGTCACCGCAACTGCGCTGTACAAATCCGGATGAGCATCCGGGATTTCATGCTCTACCGATCGAATCTTAAGATCGGATGTAATATCGTCAAGGTCGTTGGAACGAAGCCCACGTTGCTCTTTCCCTCTTTCCCCTTGAATCCTGATCCGCCTTTAGATTTCCCAGATCGGAATCCCCGGGATTAGTATCCATTTCCCCCGGGCACGGCGCGGCACTTCGGTGAGGTCTACTCCACGATAGGATTTATTCCGAATAGCGTCGCGAGCGAGCGAGCGAGCGACACGAATGCGAAATAGTCCCTTCTCCGAGATCTGGTTCGCCTTATTATTCCATTGCGACAGCTAACATCGCTACCTCCATGTTAATTCGCCGCATAACGTGCCGACGCTAGGTGAGTTATACGGGCGCGTTTTAAAGACGCGTCATTGCGATAATTCAGGTATTTCACGCATTCACGACGTATTATATTTTAGCAAAAAGAATATACATTTCCGTATTCTCCGCATTGCGCCGTTTTTTTTCCTCCATCTCCGTGATCGCATGTAAACGGCACCACCGTGACACACGCGAGACATTTTTCTGAACACGTTCTTTCAGGGGTAAGTACGAGATCTCATTCGCTGGTGAAGAGATTTGACGGGATTTACACGGGGCCTTACTTCGACTCGAACACTCCAACGAATATCACGGCGCAGTTGGGCACTCATGCTTACCTACCGTGCAAAGTGCGGCAGCTTGGTAACAAATCAGTAAGTTATCTGATATCATATAATTCCAAGCAGAACAACAAGTCACGATAAATGTCAAATGACATTAAAACGAATCGGAAATGATAGAAAAATGACTTTTAATGATTATTTTGAAGATATTTTGACATCATTTTGATATCATAATGACTTGTTGTTCTGCTTAGGATAGGTCTGTTTTTATATTCCTGCTAGATTACATTAGAATTCTCTTTCTCGCTCTTTCGCCAAATATCAAAATATATCTATGTCACTTTAAGTTCCAAAAGTGTACCCTAGTTCAGCCTGTTTTCACAGAAAACAGACCTAATAACAAAGTTTCGGCATAAAAAGAGCCGTGAGTGCTAAAAATGAAGAGAACGCTCTCTTCTCTCTCTTTGTCTCGGTGGATGAGCGAATATAAACAAAAATTAATTAAATTTTACTAATTACGAGAGACGCTCATGGCAATTTTTATATCTTCATAAAGTTATAATTAATCCTCGAGGATTATGAGGATGTAAGGATGTTGTAATTTCATATATCAATACTATCACGCTATCAGTTTGATCTAATATTTATTCCTGTCATAATCTCCCGCATCTCTGATAGAAGATGTCTTACGCGTTATGTGTATTGATTACAATTTGATTTATTAACGAGCATATTTGTCAAATAACATAATAATGGCCAAATTCCTGCGTGACAGTTACGACAATGGTACTCTACTTAATATAATGACGCTTAAAAAATGCAAGGAAAAATTGTTAAAACTGAGTCCAGGAGATAATTTCCTCGTTTTCTCTCCTGAATATTTTGAAAAATTAGTTATCATAATTTAGCTCAGTTATGATAGTGATAGTTAAGTATTTTAATTAAATATTTGGTTAATATAATCGAGAGATTTAATAATTATTACTAAATAGTTTAACCGAAATTTAGAAATTGTTTATAAAGCTAAATGATTATTACCAAATCGTATAGATAAATATAATCAAACGAATTGGCAAATATATGTAGTTAAATTGCTTACTTACTAATAAATACTGAATAATAATATGGTAGGTATTACTAAATTTATCATAAATATCAAATAATTAGTTTTTTAGTTATTTGATTTAATGAATATAACTAAATTGTTAGGTCTTAATTATTGTATGATTTGATAATAATTATCTCATTCGAATTGATTTCGTTCAAAATTATTAACAATTTGTTAATTATAGTACACTCAGAGAAAATGATATAAGATATGTTCTTTTTAGCTGAACTTTTGCATAGTTCACCTTTTTTCTTTTCTCTCTAACATGAAAAGAAAAAGAGGAAAGATGAAGTTCAGTTAAAAGGACAGACTTACAATGTTAGCATTTATATAGATGACTACTTATCTTCAGTCATATAAACTTGATTATATAAAAAGCTCAACTTACATGAGAAACTAAATTTTACATGAGAAACGATACTATTTAAGTGACAGTTCAGGAATATCCTGACGATATTTATAAAATATTTTAGACGCTTATTTACTTCAAATATCTGATAACTATTAAATCAATCAATAAATCAATTAATAAATTTTCCAATTTATAATTTTCCCATAATTATCACACGTTCAATTAATATTATTAAATAATTTGGTTTTAAGTACTTAAATTATTTAATTGGACCAACTAATCGTTCATTTTATTTTTATAAATATTTAATAATTATTATCAAACGATTACTATTATTATATTTAGTAATACTCATTAAATATTGCGCCAATACACATAATAAAATACATTTGGTAGCTATTACTAGATTTCTTTCTCAGTATACTATTCCGTTATTCACACGCGGACAAGTTAATCTACACGCATGCGTCCATTCGACGTTATTTTATTATTAACGATGAACTACTGGATTACGATCAACGCATCAAAGCGACGTCCGGAGTTATATCCGTTATCAATCATTCGTTTCACTAATGTCCTCGGAAAATCGCCGACCTTGGACAGCGATTATTTCTATCAAAAGTTCACAGATAATAAAAGGTCAGATAATAAAACTAATATATTTCAATCGTTATCGCGTTCTATTTCCTCCATGTCGGATAACTGTCGGCGACAGATAGCCCACCCACGTATCACGAGCTGTTAAATCGTCCTCCATGATCAGCATTCCCTTTTATCGAATCAATTCGTCCCGTTAATAAAATGCCAATCTGCTAATAATTCGCGGTTTATTCCTCTTTCTTTCATTAAGTCTATTCGCGGCGCTTTGTATTTTTTACACTCAACATCTTCTTTCTCTCTCTCTTTAACATCAAAATATACACATTAACGGATATTCTCATCTTATCGGTAGTCTTATTTTAAGAGCATCTTAAGACACTAATGCGATCCTCTAATTGCGATCTTGCTTCGTGACATCTTAAGGTTAAACTTAAGATGATCTTGAATATAAGAACTGACTATGAATACCGGCTTCTGATTGTTTCGTGACATCTTATTAAGACTGTATGGTCTTAAATATAAAACTATGAATACCGACCATCTCTTTTTAAAATTTTGGGGGATTTCAAGCAAACAGATATTTTCTCTGTCTCTCGTGAAATCGGTAACCGGTGAGCAGCGAAGGGATGATTTCGCGGAATGTCTACCGTCGTCGGGCGCGTAATAAAATTACTGTTGGCACGCGTCAGTTTCGAAGGCAGCCCCCATGTCTTTCGTTAACGAACTTTACCAACGTGTACACAAGCGTACCCTGGATTGTACCCGGAATATCCGTCTGTCGCCGTTGGCACGTGGACGAGGACTAAGTATCCGGTAACACGCGACCCGCGCGTACTTGAGGGGCCCGCAACTGCCATCGCCGCCGCCTCGATTCTTATCGACTGGCGAATTAAATGTATTCGTACCTCGCCTTCTTTCGACGCAGTAACGTGATTCGCGGCACCATCTAGATTTCCGTCGGGCGCGCGCAAGCCGTCCGGTCGATGAACGATAAATTAACTGCGACGGGAATGGAAGATTGATCGTCCCCGGAATCGGAACGAATCGAATGTTCTCATTCTTACTTTTTTCCTGCTACTTTTTTTTTTCATCACTGTATCTTTCTTCTGTTTCTTATACTTGAGGAACTTTCTTTTTTTACGCGCCTCAATTTCATCTGTCTCTCTCTTTCGAGTCTCTATCCTCTCAGTTGCGAATAATGGCTCGCGATAATCCCGGTGATTCTGACATCAAGCTAATGCGATTAAAAGGGACGGTAAATGACGAAGAATAAATCTCTCAAATACATTAAGAAGGAAATTTCTAAAAGCGTTGTCATAAGAATAGACAGGAAATGGTCGATGAATCTCTATGCAAATTAATCAAATTTAAAACCGACTGTAAGGGACTATAAAAAGATCTCACGCGTGAGAAGAATTTAATGAATCGTTTAAGACGAACAGAAACAATTCACTTTGGTTAATCCGAAGGTCTCCTGGATCAGAAGAAGAGACTCGCATATTCTCTCGGTGGATAGAACCATGTTCATTCCGGACGAAAGGTTCCAAGCGATTTTCGGGGAGGCGGACACGTGGACGCTGCAGGTGAAATACGTCCAAGCGCGCGACGAAGGCGAGTACGAGTGCCAAATCTCGACCGACCCGAAGAAGAGTCACATCATCAAGCTCAACATCGTCGGTGAGCGTCGTGCGGAAGGCGATTACTCTCGAAATTTTTGAAAATGAAATCTTAATTAAATCTCTAAATCCTTTGGAGTGAAATCTTATTCCAAAAGGTTGAATATTGAGCCAGTCTTGAAAAAAGAATGAAAATATTTTCACTCTTAAAGAAGAATGAAAATCAACAAAAAAAGGAGTGAGATTTCATTTTTTGAAATGAAGCTCACTCCAAAAAAATGGAATCTTATTCTAAAAGAATGAAAATCTCCCACTCTTGTTCAAGAGTGAAAAATTTCCATTCTTTTTTTTTAAGACTGGCTCAATTTTCACTCTAAAAGATTTAGAGAGTAGAGTGTCTACGAATAGTCTGTGAATAGAAATCGCATAAAACGATTTTAAAATACTTTTAAAAGTTCTTTAAGAAACGTCTTTGAGATATTTCATAAAGAACTTCGAAAGATACGTTAAAGTTATAAAATGCGTTGATTTTAGACATTGTACTCATTGAGATCTCGCTCTAAAGAATAAAAATTGAGCCAGTCTTGAAAGAGAGTGGTTCAATTTGCAATCTTTAAGAATGAGATTTCACTCTTCAGAGTGAGATTTATTCTAAAAATTTTAAAGAGTATTATTAAGCCAATTATATATTCGTCGTTACAGTGCCAAAGATCGAGATCTTGGGGGACCGTGACATGTACGTGAAAACCGGAAGTACAGTCGCAATACGATGCGTAATAAAGCAGTCTCTCGAGGGTCCGTTCTACGTTTTCTGGTACCACGAGGGCGATCGCGTTCTAAATTATCAGCTGGGCAAGATCGACATTCAGACGAAGAGGATCGAGCAGGATACGGTGAGCAGCCTAGTGATTCACAATGCGAGACGGGAGGACTCGGGTAACTATACTTGCAGCCCGAGTAACTTGGATAGCGCGAGTGTGCAGCTGCATGTGCTAAACGGTGAGTGGAACATTTTATCGGGACAAAAGTTTGTAAAAAAAAAAAATTAAAATTAAAACGCGGGCAACAGTGTTTCAACTTTTCTCTTTCCCTAAACTTTTGTGTTTCATATTCACTGTTTACGAGATACTTTTTTCACACAGACTTTTAAAAAAAAGCACTTGATAATTAACTCATGTAACAATAACATGAACTTTTACAAACAAATATTTGATAATTACAATTATACAGCGATAATAAATGCGATATGAATACGAGATTACAATCTTCATTGCAACATATCTAATCTCGTTTATTGTTATTTTATTAGATACAAAAATATATGTATTCGATGATTTTCTAGGGGAACACCCCGCGGCTATACAGAGAGGCATCAGTTCAGCGCCTGGTGGCTGTCCCACTCTATGGTGGCTGGCAGGAGTGGTGACACTGTATTCGAGTCACGGCAGTCGTCTATTCGTCCTCGTTCTTTTGATCCTTATGGTTCTTTACTCGAAAAATCCATCTTACATTGCGACGGAACGATAATCAGGCAAGACTGCAAGGATGGTATACGCGTATAATCGATTATCTCCTGCTACGAGACCCCGACTACCTCGAGAAAAGAGATCCTCGATGTTGCGGACCGATTTTCAGAGATCAAGGATAAAAAGGGCGAGGATGAAAGAAAGATTAGAAAGATAGAGAGTAATATACGAGATAAAGAGAAAGAGAAAGATCGGAGGAAAGAATAATGTTCCCGGAGGTAGTATGTTTTTTCTCCGTACGCGTGAAGTAAGAGTTAGAGGTTCATCTCGATTATCGAGACAGTGATCCGGCCGTTAGAAATTAGGAATTAGTTTATTATATGAATTCTTGTTAAATTGCTGCGAGAAGCTGTACGTGCTGGAGAAGCTACGAAATTTTTGACGTTGTCGGAAATATAAATTAGATCGAGCTTGAACAACGGGTAGTTCGTGAACGTCTTGAAAAACTTTCAATTGAAAATCCGAGGCGAGCTGATAATTTTATTTATTCAAACTTATTACAATCTATTTATTTAATCATGTTCATTAGAAATTTTATCCAAATAAAATATTATTTTCTTATTATTATTTTCTTATTATCGCGTTGACGAATTATTATAACAAGATATTATTAAGTTTACTTTATGTTTCTAAAGACGCATTTTATATTTTACATTTGTAGAAATGTTTCACGTATTTCCCGTTTGTTTAACCCGACAAGATAGAAAGTTACGAAATCTCAAAAAATGAACGCCCAAAAAACGATCACGATCGCGAGATCCTATCGCGAGGGCGTTGGGTGGTTTCGTAGCACCCATTACAGGAACAAGAAAGCGATAAAACGACGTGACGAGAAATTTATAGAAAGAAGAGAAACGATAGTAGAAAGGAGAGAGGAAAGAGCAAGGAAGAAAACGAGTGAAAGAGAAACGTCGATGAGCATCGACGTAGAGGAAGAACCGTCACGAGACTGGGGAAAAAGCAGAAAAACTTCGTCCGCGCCGCTCGAATAGAATTGAAACTTGTTCGATGAATTTTCGAAATGCGATGTAATTAATTATATTCGATAGCGACCGATTACAACAAAGCGTGTCTATACTTGACGTCTACCGCGTGATCTGGGATCGTCCTGAGACCGAGCGATCTCGGCCATCGTCTCTTAGACGATTTGTCGATACGCGCGCCGAAAATAAATTAGAATCTTCTTTTAAATTTATCTGTTGGAGAGACTATTCCAAGATCGTATAAAAAAGCAAACTTGACAAGATGGAGAAAGAAGCAGGGATCAAAGTGATCCTGTTAAGAAATAAAAATGTTATAGTTGTTATTAATAACATGACGATAGTACTCGAGGTAAAGAGATAGTATTCGAGGTACTTCATATCAAACGCACTACAACTTCACCCATATCAAATCTCTTAGCCACGATATTTCTGTTATTTCCAGCACCAAGCCAAATTTAAAACGAATAGTTGGAATAAATTATTAAATTTATTTACGGAGAATTTTTATCCGTGCTCGCGAATGAGATAAAACGGGGTATCATGTTGGAAATTATCATTGTCTCTATAAATACTTGACCGTTGTCAAAGGCGACAGGTGTCTCGAGACGATCCGCGATAAAAATTTTGGTAATTAAAGCGCATTGAGTATACACACGTTGATCAAAATATATCATACGTCCGTACATGCACAGGCTAAACTTACCGCGACGCGGGCCGTACAGACTGCCGCATTTTCCACTGACTGCTCCTTTACGCGTCGTCTCGCGACTTTGGAAATGTCGGAAATATTTTTTTTTTATATATATAGAAAATCGAAGATTTTCCCTTTAGGAGCGTAGAAAAATGAAATACTGCCGATACGCTCAAAAAATTAAATACTGCCGATAAAGTCTCTTTTTAATCCTTGGGAGGTCCTTCCAAATATCACAATCTTTTCTATATTACACGTTTATTCACGTTGGACGACGTTAAAGGAAAGGAGACATTTGTTTTGTATAAAATTTACATAAACGTATTACGTAGTGTGACAAGACATATTTCACGCGTATTCTAAATCGCATATTCAGATCCGCCTTCGATAAACTTCTTTTTTCTTGTATGAGTCGTCAAACGTCTCATCATAGCAATAGGCGTACGAGTACTTTCGACAAATACATTTTGATAACGCATATTTTCATAGCGGTTTTGGCCCGCGGCGTGTCGCCTCTGAGCATGATCGGTTGTATAATTTAGCGGATGAGCGTACGGCTTTCCGGTGGGCGCCTCGCGCGTCTT